TGGTCTGCCTCTTTCCACCGGGCCCACGGTGCACACAGTCCCACATGGTTCTTTTTTTTTTTTTTTTTTTTTTTAAACATGCCCTACTGTGTCAGAAAGGAGTGATGACAAGAGCATGCACTCCTTCCTGGCTCTCGGGGGGCTCCATTCTATTGGTTGGGAGCAACACCTGCTGGAAAGCGGGTCCAGCGTCCCCTAGGATACAAGGAAAATTTGAACCAAAAAGTCCTGCACTAGTGATCTAGTGTCCACTGACCATCATGAGGGACAAGAAAGTGAACTAGCTAGTGCCGCTTCAGCCTCATTGGGCGCCAAATTTTTTTGACTACCAAGCACTTTACCAAGCCTATATCTAATAACACACCTTCCTTACAACTCAAGGGATGTCTATCCAAACCAAGCAGCAGACACAAGGCAATTACTTGGGGGGGGGGAAGAAGTCATGAAATTCAGAGAAGGGCCTTAGAGGGATAGAGGGATAAACAGTAGTCCAGTCGTTAAAGACAAGCCAGTAATTTCTTTTAATTGGTTCCTGAGCCTTTGCGTGTCCATCTTCCCAAATTACTTTCCCCATCCTCCCACCCTGGTCACCTCCCAGCCAACTTCTGTTAAATTGATTAATATGCTGCCAGATTTCGTTATGTACTGATAGGAACTGGATTTTTTCCTTAACATATTCCCATTTGATAGTTAATTCAGTTTGAATCTGCTGATTGATGGTTTCGGTGAATTCCGGTCCGTCTAGTCGCGCACCTTCCATTTCAAAGGTACACCTTGACCGAATCGCCCAGATGATCGCCCTCCTACCTATTGGAAATACATTGAATGTGAAGTCGTCCACTTGGTCCGGATGCCATGATTCCAATAGGAGGGCTTTCCACTCCCAAGGCCAAGGGTGAGAGGTGTTCATTTGGTTCCAGATCCTATCGCACCATCTCCAAAGCCAAATTGATCCCGGGCATTGAAGGAAAACATGCTCTATAGTTTCGAGGATGAGTTTGGAGGCAAGAGCTGATTTACAAAACTTGCACCATGGGAGGGCAATGCCTTTCTGTTCAATGGACGACCTATCAATAATCCAATCATTTGTGGGAAGACATATATGAGCGATTTGCCACTGTAGAGAAGCAATTTTGGCAGGTCTAGTTTTAGAAGCTTGGAACCACTTAATACTTCTCAACTCATCCTTACTAACATTGAGATTCTTATGCCACCTTTCTTCAATGCGATCCTTTAAGTTAACCCTGGGCCGAAGCATCCTGTAAGATGCTTTGACTGTGAGGGTGTGTAATTTTCTAGGACGTGAGTGACCTCCTTCCCAGGAAGTGACCAACACCAGTTAAGAGGGTCAAACAAAAGGTGAGAGATGGAGGTATCTAGTCTGAAGACAAGCCACTTATCATCAATCTTCGGTACTCTAATCCTGAAGAGTTGGTCATATGTGCACCATCTAATTTCCTCCTGTTGACCCCAGTTGAGAATGCCATCATCCTGAATCTGAAAGATTGATTCGGGTTATGGGTCTGAATTATATTACCGACTAAACTTTTTTGGTTATGAAACGCAACCCAATCATTTTCAATAAATTTAGGGCCTCTTCGTAGAATTTTGACCCACTCCAAGGGGATTAGGTCAATTATTGAATCAAGAGCGGTAGTCTAATGGTGGCTATATCTTAGACGCTCATGCAGGTCCGTGGCCAAACGCCAATCTCTGCTTTCTTGATTCCATAGATCTTTGACCCGTATTACTCCCCTGTTTATCCAACTTTTCCAGGGGGCATCCATACTATGCAGAACACTTCCTTGGTCATCCCAAATAAACGTGTTGTTGAAAAGGGGTTGTTGACAAACTTCTTCCCATCTTGTCGGGGAAACTTTATCTGCGATGGGCATCTTTCTCCAATTTTTTATTATTGTGACCCAAAAAGGATCCCGCCAAAGATCCCTCCTAATTGCCTGTCTATCTTAGATCTCCTCTTGATTTTGGTCCCCTAGAGAGCCTCTAGGCAAAGACCATGCAAGGTTCTCCAGCCACATTAGGGGATCTATGTGGCCAGGGACCGGAGGAGCTAACCTTTTTATCTGTTCAAAGGCTAGGAAGGACCAAGGAGTGTTGGGATTGAATATAAGTCGTTTGATCCACTGGAGAGAGAGCGCTTTAGCTTGGGTATGCGGATCGATGATCCCAAGACCCCCTTTTGTTTTGGGTTGGACAATGGACAACCTAGCAACTCTGCTGATGACATTTAATCTCTCGTAATCCCCACGCCACAAGAAGGTCGCAATCTGTTTCTTGAAAAGTTTGAGATTACCTTTGTCCAAGGCCCAAAAATTCGATTTATACCATATAGAGGCCAATGTGAGGATTGAGCCCTCAACGGGGCCTTGCCGACATGCATATGTTTTGGGCATAGGCCCCCAGCAAGCCTCGTGCCCGCCCAAAGTGAAGGCGGGCCTGAATATCCACGAAGAGGCCTTCATTCAGCATTTCCCAAAGTGGGTATCAGACAGTTGCCGCACGCCAATTGGTTGAAGTGCATCATGAGCCTCCGACTCATGCAGAGGCAGTTGATCCCAAGGACGGGGTTGGTTGAGCCCTGGGCAACAGTCTGGGAGGCCGACACATCACACATTGGTCCCTGGCCTTTGGAAAAGCAGTATTTCGTCGTAGAGGCCGAGGAAGCCAATGGGAAACCAGTACGGGGTCTGAATCTGGACAACGTCCCTAGCATAAGGGGCGCAACTGTATTACCTGGGCCCCATCTGCATTGGGTCTGGGTACAGGTATTTGGGCCCGGGCGCAGGCTCAAGGCAGACCGCCCACACGCAACACTGGCATATAGGCAGAGCGGGCGAGTGGGATGTTGGCCATTGCGAGCAAGGCTAGCACGCTGTTGCATTGCGAGTGTGCTCCACTGCGCCAGGCTGAGAGAAGGCAGGCTGGCGCTAAGCTATAGGGCGCAGCCTGGACACAGGGCGCTGGGAGCCATCGCCAGGCTGCATGAGAGCGCTGGAGGAGGTGAGGGCGAAGGTGGTTCTTCGGGAGGTGAAGGGCGTTGTGTGGGATAACAAGGGAGAGTGAGGGACAAGAGAGAGTGACGTACCTGGTGGAAGAGGAGGTCGGCATTGGTGTTGACGTCATCACTAGCTGGTTGTCAAGTCGTCTGGTTGCTTCCATGACAATAGTTGTAGGATAGAAGGTAGAGTAGATAGGGCGCCTGGCGCCATTCAAGAGAAAGGGCTACTTCGGGTTATGTTGTTGGTGTTGCCCGATTGGGCTTGGACATTGACTCACGACTTTTGCTGCATCGTTCTCAAATGGATGGTTCCTTGGTTTCAATGTGTTATCTGCTCTTGCTTTGGTATCGGAGCTGGTTCGAATCGCCGCTTACCTTGGTGCGCCGGCGTTATACAGACTTGGTGCGTTGACGATGCTTCTTCACGGTTGGTTCTTGTGACGTCGGGCCGAAAATAGGCGCACGACTTGGGTAGAGAGGTGTGCGCCAGAAGGCTATACGACTTGGGATGCCGTGGTGACGGCATAATGTATGTATGGTGATGAGAGCATGTTGATGTGGCATTTGGCAAAGGTGGCACCGCATGGCGTTGTGGGTGGTACCGAGGCTACGACACATTCGGCTCAATTGGTGAGAAATCTGTGGTTGGGGGCAGCCATCTCCAGGTACGTTGTTCCCTTACCTTATCTACCCTCTCAATCTCTTCTTACCGCGAGGAAGTGAGCCCAACTTGAGAGTCCTCTCTTTTGGTGAGGTGTCGTGAGCGCTCTACCTTGAGAGACCACAATCTTCCCGGTGGCGCATCTGGAAGGAGAAAGGGCGGTGCCTCTGAAGGGCCCTGGTCGAAGCACATCGGTCACGATCACCATGCCAACCCAATGGGATTAGGACAAGCATGCGACGGCTGCTTTGTCCATTGGGGCTCTTTTGCTGCGCTGACAGAGGGGTGTGCGGACTAAACAGGCTTATGCAGACGCTCCCCGACTATCTATAAACATTTCTGGATGGGGATCCGATCTGTCCACTGGCTGTGATCGTCGTCCTGATTGCGACGTCAAATAATTCCTGAGCGACCTTGGGGGAAGTCCTTAAATAGGCCTCTTGATCAGCCAGATCAGTCGGACGTACGACTCGTTGCACGCGAGGATAAATAACCAGCAAGCCTAAGCATGCACTTGGGGCTTAGGGGTGGGCCGACATTGCACACCTATAACACTGCTGCTCATTGATGCTCATCGGAATGTTGGATTGAGGGGAGGGGAGGTTCCAATTGGTGCTCAACTGTAAACACAACCATATCCACTGTTCATACATCTGCAACATAATTTAGTTTTATTTTTGATTAGTTGGTGGACAGACTGCTAACACCTCACAGACAGCTTAGTTTAGGACTGTTGTATACTACCATAGCCAGTTCTATGCAAAGCTTTTGTAAGTGAATTAATCTTGATGTAATTGAATTATGTTAACAGTGTTTGTGAATGTTGTAAGGCTGCCACTTGATCGGTTAAGTAGGGGACCTGCCGGACACATTTATTTTTAGAAAATTAGGTGTCGGTCAGACACATGCTGTGGTAGGACTCCAGCAGGCAGTTGTAGTCCAGATAGTGTTTGCCTAACTGATGAGTGGGTCAGACGCCAAGGAGGGTAGAGTTGACAATGCGAGGCTGACACGTTCGAGATCACTTAGGGTCCTGCACGTGTATCAGGCCCTACGGCCGGGAGATGAAAGACGACTTCGTGCCGAAGTTCGAGCCCGTGCTTATGCAGCAGCGAGGGAAACAGCACTAGCTGCAAGTCAGGCGCTGGCAGCAGCAAACGCCGCAGCTAGGGAACGGGCAGCAGCAGCAGCCAGCGCAACAGCAATGGCTACCGCGGCAGCATCCTCTGCTGCATCCTCGTCTGGGACCCAGTTGGGGATGCCCCCTGGGCCCACGGGTACTTCCGGATCAGTAGGTTCCAGTCAGTCCACAAGTCGAAGGCGGGCTCGCAGTTCAGTCCGTTGACCCCACGCGGTAGAGAGCTACTAGAGCTCCAACAAGTCGAAAGGATCCGCACAGGGTTAGAGAGGGAACTAAAGCAAGCTACCGAAAGAGAAAATGAGATTAGAAATAGAACAGCCAGGCTTGATACGTTAGAGGCAGACAAAGCTGCATTAGAGGAGTTAGATGAATCAGCAATGTCTGACGCAATGAAAGTCTTAAGGTTCAACATACTGTCACTGCATGCGCATGTGGACAACAGGCTGGATTTCATGCAGAACTCCTTGGACCAAATCTTGGACCTTTTGCAAAGGCCAGGATTACGGCCAGGATTACGGCCAGGATTACGGCCAGCAGCACAATCGCCATTGCCGTTAACGGCGATGTCAGGCCCCTTTCCGATACAAGATGGCACACAACAAAGTGTTACGTCTGCAGCAGCCGCACAAACTGTTGCTTCTTCTTCTTCTGGTCCAGCGGCTGGAGCTACATCACAGTCACAACAATATGTTCCACCTCAGGGACAGCAGCAAAGTCCATGGTACCCAAAGACCCCGATGAAGCCGCCCCTTGCTTTCTCCCCTGAGAAGAAGGATGAGGAACTCAACACTTGGTTGAGGACGGTTCCGATGTGGGTAAGGGCAAAGAGGACGTTGCAGGAGGATGAGGTGATTACTGCTGCATCTTACCTTGAGGGTAAGGCAGCCAAATGGCTGGATGGGATAGTAGCGAAGGCCGGGTTCGGACGACGCATGGTAGATTGGGGTAAAACCCTCACTTTAGAAGAGTTCTCATACATGGTAGAAGCTCGCTGGCATAATCCGCAGCAGGCACAATTGCCACTGATGCGATGCTCAGACTGGACCAGCGAAGGTACAAGTCTGTCAGAGAGTTGACGTCTACAGTAGAGAACCTCATCGTCGTTCCCGATATACGCTATGATGACCAGGTCTTATTGACCATGTTTCTGAGATATCTGCCCGAGAATCTCAGGACCTTACTGGCCAGCGAGGCTCACCTCGAGTACCATTCCTTTGAGACCTTCTCTAGAAAGGCCTTAGATTTGGAGGCTACTCTAGGAAGTGCTCAACCTACTCCAATAGACGGGAGAAAGAAGAAGAGTCCATAGGAGTGGAAAAAGAAGGGTAGTAGATTGATGATGGTTGAGTCCGATGGGAGTCAAACTGGAATCGAAGAACTTACTGACCTGATGGACAATTCAGAGTACGACGGCGAGGAAATCGTTGAGGGTAGCACCCTCGCCGCAATAGTCAAGGCACAGGCTGGTGGCCGCAGTAAAGGCGGCCATCAAAAGAGTCAAGGGCAGGCCGCCTCCAATCAGTCCAAAGTAGCGGATTGGGTTACGGCAGGTCTTGATCAGGAAGTGTGGCGGGACCACCGGGTGCGTGGTGCTTGCATTAACTGTGGTGAATACGGACACACCTAGTATAAGTGCAAGAACGCAAAGGTCACACAGAAGATACCCCCTAAGGGAGGGGTGCCTTCTTCCCAAGTTGGGACCAGTTCCAGCTCGGGAAACACTTGAGGCCGGTGGAAGTTTTAGCTGCTTCTACTCACGGTGAAGTGGGCCAGATACCCTCCCCACTTCATGAGATGGCCATAGCTAACGACTCTTTAGTCACCCCGCAGACACACCCAGACCAAATCATGCTCTGTACATTGGATGTGTCTGAGGCCTTAGAAGATTTAGAAAGTGAGTGGTCAAGCAAGGACCCTCGCGAATCTACGGTGGCACTAAGAAGAGGTCCTAGAGAAAAACACTTCGTCGTGGAAGTTGTTGTAGGAGGCAGCAAATGTGGTGCCTTCGTAGACATCGGCTCCACACAGAATTACATAAGTCGCGACTGTTTGGAAAGGCTGCACCTAGAGGACCGGGTACAACGCCTTAGTAGACCGGTAGCATCTACTTTGGCCAACAAGGAGCGCATGGTAGTGTCAAACTATGTCAAGGATGTAGTCTGCACCTTCTCCTATGGAGGAGGGGAACTTAATCACAAGATTTCGTTCCTGGTTAGTGACGACTTACCATTCGACATGCTGTTAGGAATGTACTACTTTGAGGTTGCCAAGCCCCAATTTGACTGGGACAAGAAGGTGCTCAAGCATGAGTTGCATGATGGGAGGACAATGAGACTGCCCACGTACAAGGCAAGTAGGTTGTTGGACTCCTACGGGTGCTTGTGTGCATCAGCGTTCTACAACTACTATAAACAGAACCAAGAGGAGGGTATGTACCTAGTCTATGTCTCTGAAAAAGGGGAAGCTCTTAAAACACCCCCAAAGATGGAGAACGTCGTTACTAAGTTCCCTGATTTGTTCGAGGAGCCCACAGGAATCGTAGATAGGGAGATTGTCCACGCCATAGAAATAATTCCAGGGAGTAAAACCCCAAAGGGAAGGATCTATAGAATGGCTCCGACCGAGTTGGACGAACTCCGGCGACAACTGAAAGAGCTTACAGAAAAGGGTTGGATACGGCCTAGTACTTCCCCCTTCAGATCACCAGTGTTATTTGTACCGAAGAAGGGGGGGTCGTTGAGGATGTGCATTGATTATAGAGGCCTCAATGCCATCACTGTGAAGAACGTTGAGCCTCTACCACGCATTGACGACCTATTGGATAGGGTGCAGGGATGTAAGTACTATACTAAGATTTAAAATCCGGCTACCATCAGATTGCCATAAGACCTGAGGATCAACACAAAACTGCGTTTCAGACCAGGTACGGTCTGTACGAGTTTGTGGTGATGCCCTTTGGCCTTTGCAATGCGCCGGGTACATTCCAGCACGCCATGAATAGGATCTTCCATGATTGCTTGGACAAGTTTGTCATCGTATACCTTGACGATATTCTTGTCTTCAGTAAGTCTGTCGAGGAACCTGCACAGCATTTGGAGATTGTTCTCTCACTCCTGCGGCAGCACAAGTACAAGGTCAACTTAGAGAAATGCGAGTTTGAACGCACTAAGATCTTGTATTTGGGTCATGAACTATCCGCGGGAGGGATTAGGCCGGAAGATGCGAAGGTGGCTAGCATAAGGGACTCGCCACGACTTCAGACAGTGAATGAGGTCAGATCTTTCTTAGGGATGTGCGGCTACTATAGGAACTTTGTGAAAAACTATTCCACGGTCGCCTCTCCTTTGACTGATCTCACTCGACTTGATACGTCGTGGGACTGGAATGATGAGTGCGAGGCTGCTTTCAAACGATTGAAGCATGCACTCATGAATCATGAGGTTCTCATGGTGCCCGATCCTCATAAGCCATTCATTGTAACCACTGATGCAAGCCAATATGGCAGTGGCGCAGCGCTAGCTCATCAGGATGGGAAAAAGTTGAGGCCAATTGAGTACATGAGTAAGAAAATGCCATCTAAGAAACTTATGAAAGGGAATTGTATGCCCTCTACAAGGCATTGGTCCATTGGAGGAGACACTTCCTGTTGGGACGGTTTTTCTATCTGAGAACTGACCCTCAGACCCTCAAATGGATCAAGACTCAACCTGCTCTATCTGATGCACTCAAGCGCTGGATTGAAGTTATAGATCAGTATGACTTCAAGCTGGAGCATCTGAAGGGGGAGTATAATAAGGTTGCAGATGCGCTGTCACGGAGGGCAGACTATCTAGGAGCGTTAGTTTCTGAATTCGGCATATCAGAAGAAATCACTCGATCGTTGGTGGAAGCCTATCAGGAAGACCCTGTCACGATGGACATCATCCACAAACTGTAGGCTAAATACAAGGCCACAGAAGATGAGTTTGTGATGGTGGATGGGTTAATCTTTCAGGAAAGGTTGGTAATAATAGATTAGTAATTCCAGCTAGGGAGAATTTGCGCAGTTTGTTTTTAGGAGAATGTCATGATGCAATGGGACATTTTGGCTACAAAAAGACAAGTGCTAATCTGGTACAACGATTTTGGTGGCCCGGTATGCTAGAGGATGCAAAGATGTATGTGCAGACTTGCCAGGTCTGTCAGCGAGACAAGCCAAGAACTCAAGCACCGCTTTGGTTGCTGAAGCCCTTGCCCATCCCCGTTGGACCAGGACAGTATCTCCATGGATTTCATGGACACCCTGGTCACCAGCACGGGTGGCAAGAGGCATATCTTTGTTATCATAGACAGGTTTACCAAGTTCGCTAGACTGATTGCCATGACAGAGACTGCGAGGACTGAGCACGTCATCAAGTTGTTTTTGGACAACTGGGTGCGTGATTTTGGACTGCCAAAGTCAATCATTAGTGACAGAGATGTCCGTTTTACAAGTGAGTTGTGGAAGAAGACTGCTGAGCAAATGGGCAGTCAACTTCAGATGACTTCTGGGAATCATCCTGAAGCCAATGGACAGGCCAAACAAATGAACAGAGTTGTGCAACATTTGCTGAGGCACTACAAGCCCATCCAGGATGACTGGAAAGTACAACAACGATGTACACAACAATACCGGCGTCAGTCCTAACCAGCTGCACTTGGGATGGAAGCCTAGATCGGTGCTGGACTTCCTCCTGCCTGAAAACCGACCCTCTGCAACTCCGTGCACACTTGAGTATGGTGTGCACTATGAGAAGTTGCTGCAGCAAGTTGTCGAGCACATCAAGAAATCTCAACAAACAATGATTGCTTCTGAGAACAAACATCGTCGACAATCGACATTTGAGGTAGGGGAACGTGTCTGGGTCAAGGCTAGTGAGCTAGGACAGGAATTCGAAATCTCTCGTAAACTACTGCCACAATATTTCGGTCCCTTGGAAGTCTTGGACGTAGTTGGGGATGACTTGGATGGTCCTTCCTATGTTATCCGAATCCCTGGTCACCTGCGCACTTACCCTGTGTTTCACGCCTTAAAGCTTGCACCTTTCGCTGAGATAGAACAATTTCCTTCACGGAGATCAATGCTGCCCCCAACCATGGATGGCCACGTGGACATCAACGACATTTTGGAACATAGACACATGTCTGACCTCCAAAACCCAAGGGAGAATACAGAGTCAAATTCAAGCATCACACAGATCCGAAAGAAGATCGACGGTTCACCAGAGAGGAACTGATTGAAACAGCACCTCAGGTGGTGGCGGAATATGAAAGACAGCTAAAAGGGAAGGCACCTGCGAAGTAAGTATCTCAGCGGACTTTCGAAGCTAAGGGGGATGGAATGTGAGGATTGAGCCCTCAACGGGGCCTTGCCGACATGCATATGTTCTGGGCATAGGCCCCCAGCAAGCCTCGTGCTTGCCCTAGGTGAAGGCGGTCCAAAATATCCACAAGGGGCCTTCATTCAACATTTTCCAAACTGGGTATCAGACAGTTGTCGCACGCCAGCTGGTTGAAGTGCATCGTGAGCCTCCAACTCCTGCAGAGGCAGTTGAGCCCAGGGCCGGGGTTGGTTGAGCCCTGGGCGACAGACTGGGAGGCCGACACATCACACATTGGTCCCTGGCCTTTGGAAAAGCAGTATTTCGTCGTAGAGGCCGAGGAAGCCAATGGGAAACCGGTACGGGGTCTGAATCTGAACAACCGCCCTAGCATAAGGGGCGCAACTGTATTACCTGGGCCCCATCTGCATTGGGCCGGGGTATAGGTACTAGGGCCCAGGCGCAGGCTCAATCAAGGTAGACCGCCCACACGCAACACTGGCATATAGGCAGAGCGGGCGAGTGGGCAGGGATCTTGGCCATTGCGAGCAAGGCCGGCACGCTGTTGCATTGCGAGTGTGTTGCGCTGCGCTAGGCTAAGAGAAGGCAGGCTGGCGCTAAGCGGTAGGGCGCAGCCTGGATGCACGGCGTTGGCAGCCATAGCCAGTCTCCATGAGAGCGCTAGAGGAGGTGAGGGCGAAGGTGGTTCTTTGGGAGGTGAAGGGCGTTGTGTGGGATAACAAGGGAGAGTGAGGGACAAAAAAGAGTGACGTACCTGGTGGAAGAGTAGGTCAAGTCGTCTGGTTGCTTCCATGACTGTAGTTGTCTGGTCGTCAAGTCGTCTGGTTGCTTCCATGACTGTAGTTGTAGGATAGGCGGTAGAGTAGATAGAGCGCCTGGCGCCATTCAAGAGAAAGGGCTACTTCGGGTTATGTTGTTGGTGTTTCCCGATTGGGCTTGGACATTGACTCACGACTTTTGTTGCACCGTTCTCAAATGAATGGTTACTTGGTTCCAATGTGTTATCTGCCCTTGCTTTGACTACTTGCACTTCAGTGTGATTTGCAATTGGGATTTTTGTGCTTCCACATTCATGTTCCTTGCACCAATATGACATTATTAATTATTATAGTTCTACCAAAAAGGGATGAATGTTTATCCTTCCACAAATCAAGTTTCAACCTTGCTTGTTGTAGAATCCCTTCATTAGTAGAGGTGGGTTTACCTGAGACTCACAGAGATACTCCTAGAACTCTGACTGATTCGTGATGAGGGACCCACTTAATGTGGGGAAGTTCGGGGGGTCTCACACCTTGATGATGGATCCACCATCCAAGAGCTTTATTTCCCCAATTGACCTTCATATCAGAGAGTTTACAGAAATTTTCCATTACTCTTTTGATGGCTTCTAAATTTTCATGTGAAGCATCAACCATAAGAGAGAGGTCATCAACAAAAAGAGAGCAAACTGGGACTGTGTCCTCAGGAATAGAGGCGACCTGGATATGCCTAATATCTTTGTGATGTCTTATGTTAGCTGCTAGGGCTTCCATAATAATCACAACGAGAAGAGGTGCAATGGGATCACCTTGCCTTACTGATCTCTGAAGTATGATGGGGGTGCCACATTTCCATTGACCATTACCCTTGTTGTGGCATTCCTGTGCAAGATATTGATCAATCTCCTGAAGCGTGGCCCAAAATTAAACTTCTCCAGTCATTTATCTAAGAAAAAACAGTCCACATGATCATAGGCTTTCTAAAAGTCAATAAAGATGAATGCGGGGTTATACTTAGACTGTCGAGAGAGCTTGATGAGCTCATTAATGAGCAAAATATTGTCATGGATATTTCTTCCTTGGATTGCTGACTAGACAAAGTAAGACTGAGACTGGGTGCCGCTGACTAGACAAAGTTGGACGGCCTACTTGCTCACATGCCTCCGGACAAACGTAGAAACTCTCGAAAGGCCACTTCCGGACCTTCCGAAAGTTTGCGCACTTGACGGATTGTAGCAGCTACGACCTTGACCTTTTAGAACTACAACAACTATGACCCCTATGCAAGTATAACCCCTACTTCGACAGGTCTATGGTTCAAGACCCGACAACTACTTTGACCTACGACAGACAACTTTCAACTACTAACACACAGGTCACGAGTTCAAGACACAGCGTCGACTTGATACTATACACAAGTAGGGCAAGGGCATGGGAGGTAAGGTCTGGGGATCGAGCCTTGGGATCCGCATCTGTGACTGCAAAAGGTGAAAATCATTTCAATGCATCTCCACAGTAATTTATTTTTATTTTTGATTATTTAGTTGTACGGACTTGGTAACAATTGACAGACAACTGCAAATCGAATAGACCATTCCTTGCGGCATTGCATTCTATTTTAGAATAATCTAAAAATAGAAATAGAGTTACCTTTAGGACCTGACATTGATTGCTGGTTACCACTAAACTACTTTTCTCAAGGCTGACCGAACGAGTTGACTATTATTACTCGGTTGGGTGTCATGCTGAGGTAGGATTTAGTGTGGATTCCACTTTAGATCACACACCACTGAGGCTCATGAGTGAAGCGGTTAGTAGTGAGGAGGAGGAACGATTAGTAGAAGATCTTAAGAGTTACCCTCGGAACTGCTCTCAGGCGACTGATCACTTTCCGGGAGTTAGGTCCAGGACAGGAAAGGCGGCTGCGAAGGGAAGTCGGGGTGGCATTACGAAGGTCTAGGGCAGCAGCAGCCAGCGCTGAGGCCGCAATGGCTACCGCCTCTACCATGTCATAGTCCTTGTCTCAGGCCTGTTCATCAAGTGTTAGTCAGGGTGTCTCTCAGGGTCCTGTTAGTCAATCTGTTGGATCGCAAGTCAGCCAGGAGTCTCCTCTCACACCAAAGGATTATGAGATCCTCCAAGCGGAAGCCCTTCATGATGGGTTGTGGCAGCAATTGAGAGATGCAGCATTGAGAAGAGAAAAAGCAATACTGRGAAAAGCTAGACTAGAAACTAAAAGTTAGGAAGACTAGAAGCACTGGGCGGGTCAACATTGGATCGTGCGATGCAATCGCTGTGTCGCTCGCTTCTTTGCGTGGCAGA